AACTGAGGTCTCCTTCTTCCCCAAACCCACGGGTGGATGAACTTCCCTGCCAACACACACACGAGATTGAATCACATTCTACATTTCAATGAAGCATAACAAAATACGTTTTGGCGAAAATGTGGTCTTTATAAAGTTGCGCGCTTACAGAAATGGAAAACATAAAGAGCAATATTTAAAAAAACAAATAACAGTCACATGTCCACACGGCTGCATACGTTCTACAGCTGAGTGTGTGTGTGTGTGTTGTGCGTGTGAGCTGTGTGTGTGTGCTGTGTGGGTCAGCTGAGTGCTGTGTGCGTGGTGCTGAGTGTGTGTGGTGTGTGTGTGTGTGTCTGTGTGTGTGTGTGGCTGTGTGTTATGTGTGTGCTGTGTGTGTGTGTTTGGGTTTGCCTCTGTGTGTGCTGTGGTGTGGTGTGTGTGTGTGTGGTGTGTTTTGAGTGTGTGTGTTGTAGTGTGTGTTGTGTGGTTTGTGTGTGTGTTGTGGTGTGTTGTGTGTTTGTCTGTGTGTGTGTGTGTGTGTGTGTGTGTGTGTGTGGTGTCTTGAGTGTGTGTCTGTGATGTGTGTGCGTGCGTGCGGTCGTGCTGTGCGGTGTGTGTTATACCTTCTCCAAAGTCGTCCTGATGGGATTCCCACCTCAGTGATCGGCTTCAAATTCTTTGCTTCATCATGATGATCGTCTCCTACCTGCGAGAACAAATCGATACTGATTGATTGATTATTTAGTATATATCTTTATGAACACGGAACGTGCAATAACAACACATGAATCTAAAGGAGAGATGCTATAGCCAGGATTCAGTTTACGCTAATTCAAAAATGTCTTAATTAAAGCTATTCAATTATTAGGACTGCTTTAGCTAATCGAAGTAAACATTGAATACTGCTTCTATTCCTCCATCTTGTGACTGTGGAACTCCCTCTCTTGGATATCAGCATGTGAAGGACCACTTTCAGGAACTAGTTGGAGGCTCTGTGTGTGATGACTACTTTCTATTCTGCGAGAAAAAGTGAGACTTGTGAGATTTGAGAAAAAAGTCTGAATTTTTAGGGAAAAGTAAGAATTTTGAGATTTTGAGGAAAAGTCTGAATTTTGAGAAAAGTCTGAATTTTGAGAAAACGTCAGAATTTTGAGATTTTGAGAAAAAAGTCAGAATTTTGAGATTTTTGAGAAAAGTCAGGAATTGCAGATTTTGAGAAAACGTCAGAATTTTTGAGATTTTGAGAAAAAGTCAGAATTTGAGATTTGAGAAAAACGTCAGAATTTTTGAGATTGTTGGAGAAAAACTCGAATTTGAGGGAAAAAAGCAGAATTTTGTACATTGAAAACTGTTCAGGAACTTAGTTATACTAAATGGTCTGTATGTGATGACTACTTTCTGTCGGAGAGGATCACAGATACCATGGACCCTGAGACTGAAAGCTCAATTAGCTTGTGTTTATATATACTGACCGGTGGTAGAGGACCACCAGCTCTTCATCAGGGACTCCAGGGCATGGATGTCAACCGCTGTCAACCGGGCCCACACAATCCAGCTGTGGAACCACACACCACACCACACACACACACACCACACACACCACACACACACCACACACACACACACACACACACACACACACACACACACACACACACACACCACACACAACACAACACACACAACACACACCACACACCACACACACACACACACACACACACACACACCACACACACACACACACACACACCACACACACACACCACACACACACACACACCCAACTTCTTCTGTTTAAATAACTGCATCTGTTTAGAGCTGCTACATATCTTCTACGTAAGGGATCATGTGCAGCCACGGTCATTATGGGGAAAAGAACACCGACAGGCTGATCAGGAGCCCGACGCGAAGCGGAGGGATCTAGATCGGCATGAAGTGTCACATAATGACCAAGTGCTGCACATTATCCCGCTTATTACACGGCCACATTCTCAACAAAGTAACGTTATGACTCCCAATATTAATTGAAATGCTTTTATGGATTTAGAAAATGATTTTATTGATTTAAAAAATAGTTGTATGTATTGATTTAAATTGACATGCATCCGCTAAGAAAAATAGTCCGTTGTTACTGTTTGAACTAACGTAGCAACGGCAGGAATTGCTTCGATAGCGTTTTTGAGGAGCTCTTTGATTACAGATTTGAAAACATCGCTGCTTGCTTTAAAAGTAGCACAATTCATTATGTCAAACCTTGGAAAGTATCTAGATATCCCTGCCCTAATGCCAAAGTAACAGCACACTGAATATGTGTCGCCGTTTGATGTCTATGTCTGGACCGTTGCGTAAAAAGGAGGATTTCTGCCCGTTACTTCTCCGCTGTTTTCTTGTCGCTCTTGTCTTGTCAGTTAGAAAAGCAAACTGCATGCAGTTTGCTTTTCGGCAAAACTGTATTAAGCTAAATCGAACGGACTTGTTTGTGCAGATGTGAGCGTCCTTAACAACGGTCAATAAGTCCTTGACAGCGGTCTGTCTGTTCGGTATTAACAACGTGTCACGTGTTCTGAATTGACCAATCAGAATCGAGTATTCAACTAAGCCATGTAATAAAACTATATAACAACACACTACAGGGAATGGAAACCCCCAAAAAGACGAATTGTGCACCTTTAAATCCTAATCCCTCTTTGCAACAGACTGCATTGTTGCTTAAGTCTTTAAATAGATAACGTGTTCATTCAAAGGAAATCTCTGATGAAGGTTATATGTTCTTATTGCAGAAATATTCAGGTGCAAACAGTATCAGTATGAATCACTTCACTAATATAATGTTGGCCAACTTAATGCCGTTTACTGTGGACCTGACTCAAATACTGTATATGCTCACTTTCCTTTTTTTAAATGAATGAAAAAGCTAGTTAATTATATCAGAGATGTGAAGGACAACAGCACTAACGCGTAGTGCCAAGATGACGTTAATTAATTCAAAGACTTGATTTTAAAAGAGGTTTTTCTTTAGCGTTCTGCGTTCGAGAACTGAATATATTACAATTCTGGTTGTTAACTCAAAGCAGTCTTGAAAGGGTACCATTATGGTCAGTTTGTGCTTTGACTAATAGTATACCATTAACAGTGATATAACAGCCTGGTCTTCACCACAGGAGGGACTGGTAAAAAGTGTTGTTAAAATCTTTAAATAGATTACTTGTTTATTCAAAGGAAATCAAAAGGAAATATTTCAGGTGTCAAACATTAGCACTATCTCTTTAGCAACATAGTGGCGGCCAACTTCATACCGTTTACTGTGGACCTGACTCAAATACTGCATGTTAACTCAAAGCACTCTTGAAAGGGAACCATTATGGTCAGTTTGTGCTCTGGATTAATAGTAATTAAAGCAAGTTAATTATATCAGAGATGTGACAGCACTAATGCCATGAAGACATGTAAAAATGCAAAGACCTGAATTCAAAAGAGATTTTTCTTTAGCGTTCTGCGTTCGAGAACTGAATATATTAAAATACTGGTTATTAACTCAAAGCAGTCAGTTTGTGCTCTGGATTAATAGTATTCCATTAACAGTGATATAACGGCCTGGTGTTCTCCACAGGAGGGACTCATAGCCACCATCTGACCAGCCTAACCTCCTCCAGTCACTCCAGGAGGTTCGGCACACGTCTCTGCGGGGTCCACCATCACACGAGTGGTCATTCTCAGCGGGGTCGATCATGGGAACAGGCGAGAGGTTATTAAGGGACTCAGCTTGGCATCGCTGAACTCTTTGGCTCCACGCTGGAGGAGCTTACACTGAATGTGGGTTTGATTAGTGTCTGGTTGATCTGTTTCTATGACTGCTATTATTACACATGAGTTTCTTAAAGAGGCCCTGTTATGCTTTTTGTGGGTTCTCCCTTTCCTGTAGTGCAGGGGTCGGCAACCCGCGGCCCACGGGCCGCATGCGGCCCTTTAAGCCCTCTGCTCTGGCTCCCTTGAGCTTAGACAAAAATAAGAAGGAAATAAAATAAAAGTATTTGTAGGACTATTTATATTTTGTGGCATGGTTGAAAATGTTTCGTATCTTGTATTTTGAGGTGATACTGTGACACATAAATAAAAACCAAAACGGTTTTAATTAGGTCAACTAAAATATGCGTCACGTCCTGCTACGGTCCCGCGCGAGCGCCTTTTCTTGGAGGCGAATAAACTGACCCCCGGCTCGATGAGCGAACTACTGTATGGATAAATCAAAGAAAAGTACCGGAGGAACACAGGAATTAATTCTGCGTGGACAGAGTTATATGCTTTCACAGCAAACGATGCTGGTTTGCCGGTATGTTTGATATAAGTTGTCAACGGTGCTGCAGCCTTTACGTATCGAGGAACAACACGGAGAGGAAGACAGCTGACGATCTTCAGTCATAATTCAATGGGGTATGTAATTTATTTCAGAAAAAACGTTTTGTTATATTCCATGGAATGCTCTTAACGTCCCGATAGCAATGAATATATTAAATGCTTTGACAATAAATACATACAAAAATTAATCTCTGGAAGCCGTAGCGCTGTAAAAAGCACGACCAATCATTTTAGCCGGCCCGGCTAAAATAACTGGATGGCCTACCTGCCTGTCAGCCTTCCATCTGTGCACAAACTTATCTCGTGCCCTCATTGATGATGTCGCGTTCGGTGTGTGTTGGAGGAGGGACTC